GTGTGTGTGTGTGTGTGTGTGTGTGTGTGTGTGAGAGAGAGAGAGAGAGAGAGAGAGAGAGAGAGAGAGAGAGAGAGAGAGAGAGAAAGAGAGAATGGATAACAAAAACACTGATTGAGTGTCAATCAAAGCCATCACATACCAGGAAACAAAACGGGAGTATAGAAGCAACTACCAAACACCTAGGAGATGACATGTGCGCCGCACAACATCTCCGAATAAATTGTGGCCTGTTGTGGCACTATGTCGACCGCTAGAGGGATGGAGCATCATGGAGAACATGATGACCAGTTTGTGTGTGTCTTCATGAGCAGTTTGTGTGAGTCTTCATGACCAGTTTGCTCGAGTCTTCATGACCAGTTTGTGTGAGCAGGCGATCGGCCGCTTGACTGAGCAAACACAAAGTCGCCATCATCACAACCTTGGCCAGATTGCTAACTACATAAAAAAATTCAGTCAACAAATGCAGGCACTGGTGGGATCGATCAACCTATGGATGGAGTCGGAACTTCTGTGACGAGCCCAGATCCATATGGCTGGTGGAACCTAAAGCTCAGAAATACAGTTAATACACATTTCATCTCCAAACTCATTACCAGAAGTCCAACAAAACCTTTCGCCGGCACATAACGCTATTGAGATTTCATCAGCACTATGCCACTGAAAGAAACACAGCGTCGGTTTCACCGTAAAATCAACACAGTATTTTCTTTCAGTGGCATAATGCAATCGCGATTTGACTGACAAAATCAAAAATCCAAACCTTTTTTTTTTTCTTCTGCAGAACCTGCGGTCCACTTTTTTATTTATGTGTGTCGCCTCCTTGCTCAGGAGCCACTCTAATCTTCTCTGAATCATCACAATCTTAACGGATGTCCAAAAAAGGACGCAAAGGCTTTAAAGATATTGAAATTCGACTCACAAATCAAACAACAACAGTTATTCTTTCGTTGGCATATAATATTATAATCCTATCCACATTTGATTGATTATAAATCCAAACAAAGTATTTCTGCAGAACCTGTATGAATCCAAATGCATTTGAACCTGGAACGCATCTCCGTACGCCTCCAACTTTCGCACGCATCTCTGTATGCATCGGACCTTGGAACACGTCTCGGTGACAACACGAGGAGCGGACATAGATACGCGGCACATCATTGAGCAGACATGAAATGCAAAAAGCTGTGCCATCATTACACCTACGTTCAGGACGACGTAGACGATACCATATATGCCTAAGAACGCTACCAAACGCCTTCACAACTCACCAAATAAACATAAACCTGACTGATGCTGAGATATTCTTCCTCTACGTACCTTGGTTGTCACCCAAGCTCTTTCCATGCAGCTGTCAGCAACAGCACACGTATCCACATTCGAACACAACATCGGTGTCCATTGCAATTGCACTATACTTTTGTATTGCCAGAAATCACTTGCTTGCCTTGCCTGCATGCCTGCCTGCCTGCCTGCCTGTCTGCCTCTATGTCAGGCGGAACTTCAGCCCCACTGTGCATGAAAGGATGGCCATCACAAGCCCGGAATGGAGTTCATGGAGGCCCACGACATCTGCAGAAGCACGTTTTTTTTGTTGCAGGTTCAAACAGAAGTACAGCAAGCATATGCAGCACTCAAAACGTCAGTCACACAGTACGTGAGAAGTCTTCCGCGAGAGAAGAGGCATTTGGTAAAGAGGCACGCCTACGATTCAGGGCCTCGCGCCACACCTCTGTCGAGACGAAAAGAGTACGAGCACATGTTCCCACAAACAGTGGCAAGATGCATCCGTAACTACGAATAGTAACGGATGCATCTTGCCACTTTCTGTGGAAGATGCACTCGCACTTTTCCGTTTCGACAGTGGCGTGGCGACGCCCTGAGGGTTCAGAAAAGACAAAGGAATCCAGAAGCTTTGGGTGATCAGTGCATGGTCCCGCAAACAGTGGCGAGATGCATCCGTAACTATGAATAGTAACCGATTCATCTTGCCACTTTCCGCGGAAGATGCACTCGTACTTTTTCCGTTTCGTTTCGACAGTGGTGTGGCGATGCCCTAAGGGTTCAGAAAAGACAAACGAATCCAGAAGCTTCGGGTGATCTGACGACAAACACAGAAACAACTCCGCCGATTTCATCCACGTGTAGTCAGCGTAATAATTTGTAATTCTTTGTTGTTCATTGCCAAAAGCTGAGAGTCCCGCCTTCGAGAGCAGGTGGAACAAAGACGGGAATCTCTCTCATTCCGAGTCTCAAAGCTCTCCAATGACTCTCGAATTTCTTTCGAGAGTCGAGACTAGCGGAGCGAGACCCTATGTCCCATTTTCATTGGCGCATCCTTTACATATTTTGCACCGCCCGTTTCCCTGCCGATATGTGGTCGAGAGAGATGTGAGCATGTCCAGGTGGATCACACTCGAAGTAGACTTTGATTCTCTTTGGAATGTCTTCGCTTTCATTCCATCGCTCAGGCAGCGGCATGATAACAACTCTGGTTTGGCAGTCTAACCGGTCTTTTTTTTTTTTCCTTTTTTTTGTCAATGTCACTTGGTTATCTGCTGGTTCCCACTGTGGGGTATTGTGGGCATAGCACCTTTACGGAGTCACCAAGTTACATCAGTTTGTTAGATCAGCCGCTCATGTTCTCTCCCAATGCTCAATGCCATTCTCCCCGGATGCTTGCCGGAGTATGCAAGAGTCCCTCATGACTGATGCAGCATACTCTTCGTGTCGTTGGATTACTGAAATTCAGTCAAGCGTCTGCACATTGTGAAGACGCTAATGACAGCCTTTTTTTTGCTATAAAGCTAGGAAGATTGTCACGCCCAGCCGGCAACCTGGGCGTGCCAAAAAAAAAAAGAAAAAAAAAAGAGAAAGAAGGTTTTCTGGCATTTCTGCACTCTCCCAGAGGACCCGAAATCCGAGCTCGTTTCTTTTTTTCAGAGTTGGCTGTCAAGGGTGGAGGAAGGGGGGTATAAATTGGTTTTAAAGGTGCAAGGAAAATGAGCGATAGTGAACTTCAGAAACCAAGCAGCATCATACACATGAGACCGGATAGCCATGACCTCGAACCAAAAGCAGAAAAAAAAACAGAATTGCATCACGAGTCCCACCAAATAAGAGCACAGCAAAAGCTCATAAGTGACAATGTTCGAATAATCTCATCATCATCAACAAAGAACCACTGTCGACATCCTATCTGGCGCTCGGCGCCCAGACTACAAATGGCAGATCCTATCTAGCCTATCTACAATGCCGCTGATGACGTCAACAGATCTTGGCCAATGCCGTTCGCCTCAAGCACCAGGTATGTCTCTCGCCTCACTCATAACCCCGATCCCCAACTCACAGATGCCACATGCACCCAAGGACCTCCATGCGCCCCATCCAGCTTACAGCAGCACAGCTCGGCTATGGCTGCCTGCTCTTTCCAGCTCGCCCGTGAGCATGTGAGCGCTGGCCAGCGTTAGCCAAGCAGCACTTGCACAGCATGCAGCCAGTGCCCAAATGCCGAATGCCTGGGCAGGCACTTTCCTAAATGGAAGTGGCCTGCCTGCTTGCGTGCAGCCTGCTGCGCTGGGCCCCTGCCCAGAAGCTTCCAGTAGGCCCAAGGAGGCTGAGCCCCAGTCCAAACGAATCAGGCCCTGGGCCTGTGGTGGTTGCCCGTGTCCAACTGACTGCGGCCTGTGTTCGGTCCATGTTGCGGATCTGGCCCAGAGCCTGCCTCGGTTACATTCGAAAGAGGCATCCTCGGCCTGGGCGCTCTCAACCAACTGGCGCTGCGCAACTGCCTGAATTTACCCAGTTGTGTGGTGACCCCCAAAAATAGGACTGTAGGCCCTGGGTCGAGCCTGCCTTGACTTAGGGCCGCCGACTGTACAGAAAATAGGGCCCAGTAGGGCAGATCGAGGCCTTGAGCCTCGCATTCCCTCCTCCATACTTCGCTAGTCCTCCGAGAAGTTCATTCAATCTGGCGCTTTCCTTTCTGCAGCAACTTCTCATAGTGGGCGACAACCTGCGGTGCGGTCTGCATCAGTTCCTCCCGTGTGAACCATCTATCCTCCTTTGGATCAGTGTGATGTCTGAACCGAACTCGGCACTGCAGCTTCGGCTTCCGATGACGTCCCCTGCCTGTCGGTCTTGGAACCGGCATTTCCCTGTGGTCCACGATGTCGTCGATGTCGACCTCTCCGTCCATGGTTGGGGGCAGCATTGAGCGCCGAGTGGGAAACTGACCAGTTTCTTCGAACGGTGCAAGCTTAGAGGCGTGAAAAACGGGGTAGGTACAAAGGTGTTACATGCTGCGCCTGCAACAGGCTGCACGGGCCATTTCCAGGCCCGTGACGTTTTCAGGCCAAAAGCCTGAAAACAAGGGCCTACAGGCCCTCTGTTGTTTCAGCCTGAAAGCCTGAAAACAAGGGCCTACAGGCCCTGTGTCGTTTCAGACTAAATCAGGGCCTTTCCGGCCCTGAGTGTTTTCAGCCTGAAACTGAGGGCCATTTCCGGGCCCTCATCAGTTCGACCTGCCCTGAAACTCGGGCAACAAACTAGGGTTTTAGCACAGGCCATTTCGGGCCTGTTTTCAAGACAACCCCTGGTTGAGCTTCGATGCCAGGGTCTGGCACGTTTCGGCATTGGCAAGAGCAGCCTCCTGGACGGGCCAGCACTATATAGGACCGCCCTGCAGGCAGGCAGGTAGTTCCTAGGTACTTCCCAGGCACTTCACGTGCAGTTCAGGAGGCAGGAGGTAGTCTTCAGGATTCGGCAGCATCACTCTGGAGGAGCACTGCAGGAATAGTAGTCGCGTTAGCAGTAGTCTTCAGCGCTGGGCGCTAGTAGCGTTAGCTGTAGTCTTCAGCGCTGGGCGCCACATCAGTTAGAGTAGTACTATAGAGAGAGAGAGATTGGGCGGAGGCCAGAGGGACTTACCTGCAGCGCCATTGCTCCAGCTTCGTCTTCGAGGTACCTGCAGCACAGCGCCACCTTCACAGATTAGTACCTGGCACATGAGAGAGAGAGTTCTTCTTCTTCCTCTTCTCAGTCCACCATCTCCGTCTCACCCTCTTGCTATCTGACTTCACTGCTTCAGCAGACTACGAGAGAGAGAGAGAGAGAGAGAGAGAGAGAGAGAGAGAGAGAGAGAGAGAGAGAGAGAGAGAGAGAGAGAGAGAGAGAGCTTGGTGACATTTGGATCCAGACTCGACGTTGGACTTCAGACATTTTGAAGAGGGATTCCTTCCTCTTCTTCGTCTGATCCCCTCCTCTTCGTCTGTGTATGTCTGGACCTGGCGCCTCCTTCCGGTGTATAGCGCCAGGCCCCTTCACACCTTGTGATGAGCATGATGTATGTTTAGTCTGCGATGCAACATTGATTGGGCTAGTCATTGGTATTCTAGCATTCTGCTGCGCTGTCTTGCACTACGTGGTAGAGGTCAGTCCCGGTCAGGTCAGCACTTGTATCTAAAGTCTTCCCTGCGCTATAAAGCACCATTTTGTATGTATCGGAATGCACATTGCTTGTTGAGATTCCTTGCACTGCATCGTCCATTCGGTCCTTTTTATCACATTGTGGATCCTCGGTTTATATGTACATCGCCCAACTGGGCATGTAACAAAGGTATCCCGGGATCCGAATAACATAAGAGGGTCCGTCTGGTTCATTCCCAACTACATCCAGAACCTCCCACGGCCCACAGTACTGTGGCATGAGCTTACGGGAGATCCCGTGCTCCTGTCCCAGTTCAGAAGCCTTGACCCAGACCCTGTCCCCTACCTGGAACATAGATGGGCGACGGTGCTTGTTCTCAGAGTCGATCATCGCCGCCTGTGCTTTGTGCATGTGTTCTACCGCCTGCTGCATATGATTCTCATATCTATACGCAAATTCCAAAGTGCCTGGAGCAGCAGTGGGCTGGTTCTCAGGTAGCAGAAAGTCAAGAGGGAGTCTAGGCTTCAATGTTAGTAGTTGGCTGTTCGGACTTACTCCCGTGGCACTATGAACTGCGTTGTTGTACAGGCTGGCGATGAGAGCGAGCTTCTCATCCCAGTCCACTTGATTAGGCTTAATGTAGTGCCTCTGCAGGTGTTGAACAGCGCCGTTCATCTGTTCTGCGTGTCCATTTGCCTCCAGATGGTTTCCAGATGTCATCTGCAGCAGCGTTCCTTGTTCGCCAGCTGCGGCCTTCCACCGATCATTGGTGAATCGGACATCCCTGTCGCTGATTACAGACTTCGGCAGGCCAAAGTCTTTAACCCAGTTTTCCTTAAACAGCCTGATAACGTACTCGGTCTTTGCTGTTTCTGGCATAGCTACTAATCTACCATACTTACTAAATCTATCCATGATAACGTAGATGTATCTCATGCCACTCTTGCTGGTGACTAGCGTATCCATGAAGTCCATGGACAGGCTTTCACCAGGCCTTTCCGGAATGGGAAGGGGCTTGAGAAACCCGAGAGGAGCCTGTGTCCGGGGCTTGTCACGTTTTCAAACTTGGCACGTCTTGACATACAGTTTGACATCTTTCATCATCGTGGGCCACCAGAATCGCTGCAACAGGTTGGCTGCAGTC